TTTCCATGTTTGCTCGTTTATTACTGAGATATCACTTCCTGAATCGAGTAATAATTTTATGGTCTGCCCATTTATTTTTACATTGAGGCATTTTCTTCTTTGACCCTCCGCAATTTTGTTTTTAGACAAAACTATGTTCACCTTTGTTTGAGACTTTGCTTTTACTTTTCTCTGTTTTGCCCGACAATGGGAACTTCTATGGCCTACACGCCCACAATTAAAACATATTTTATCCCTAAAGAAACAATCCTTCTTTATATGCTGTCCTCCTGCATATAACTGAACATACATTGAACTGCATATGATTTTTCTTTCTTTATTTTGCATCCACTTCTGTTGTCTTACAGTTTATACTCGCGAAATGCTCTTCTCAATCCGAGTATTATCTTTTTTTATGTTTATAAGTTGCTGACATTCTTCCGTTATTTTTTGTAGCATAATCTTCGTATCCTGTTCCATGATAGTGAGGATTCTTGATCTAATTTCTTTGTCCTTCGGTGTCATTAGACCCTGCACAAAAATTAAAAACTTGAACATGTCACTTGACAATTCCTTTAATTTAAACGCCTCACACTGTGCGTTAACCATACCTGCATATGTGACAAAATCATCATCATTTTGTTTTACGATATTTAGACACTTGTATCGTGGATGAAACAGTATCTCTTTTATAAAAAATTTGACAAAATTTCTACTGTTTCACTGAATGTAATTTCTTCTGGCTTCTTTGGGAGGATTAAATTCACGTATTTTGTATTTTCTTATGTTCCCAACTTCTACAACAATAGAGTGATTTTTTCCTCATCGCACCATTGTTCGCATCTTTTCGTAAATGTTGTTTCAAACATACGAAAATAAGACGAAAACGTTGAACCACTGTCAGGGTCGTATTTAAATTCAGAGAGTGAATTTGAAATTCCTTCAGCAGAAAAAAATCTAGAACCCGGTTCTTTTGTTGTCCTAGATAATACGTTTTCCCAAAGTGATTTATTGTCTTTTGCCTGTTGTTTGAACAACTTTTCAAACCTTTCTTGTTGCTGAATAAATTGTTGTTGCTGTTGTTGGAATTGTTGCTGTAAAGTGACTTGTAGCACCTTAGTTAACTCCGCAATTTGTTCCATTCTGCCAACGTATCCACAAGAAAAAATTTTGCTCCAATTTATGTAGACAATAAAATTTTCTAAGTCCAAACATTTGGTTCTTACTTTCCGTAAGCGTCGCACAAGTTTTTCCTTTTCTAACGTTCCTCGTTAATAAGCGTTAAAACAAAAATGAGGGAAAAATTACTTACTTTCTGTAAGCGTTGAACAAGTCTTTTTAACGTTCTTTGTTAGTAAGTGTTGTCAACTGTATTTTTTTTCTTTTAACTTGTAAGGTCGTTTTGAATCCCGTTGCCAACTGATATGTCCGGGAAAGGGGTATATTTGTTGGAAGTAACAAAGTGGTTGTTGACTACTGTAACCGGGTAGGACAATCTAGCATGTAGCCGTAATGGACTGGTCCTCGTTGTAGTGGTAGGCAATAGGCAAAGACAATAGGCGTAGTTCATGTACCTCCACATCAGTCTGTATTTATGGCTGACACCAGTCAATCATATTACAGTGAGGAGGAACCAGGTGCATGCATCTTCATTACATCACAAATAGAAAATATAGAAATAATTCTATAGAACAAAATGATTGAATCTTCATTATAAATAAAGCATGTTAATTAAAATATCATGTCTTCCAGTTTTAAGGCTTTCATGATTTTGCCTTGAATGTCTGCAATGAAATTATAGCACATCGCTGGTGTCACCATTGCAAGGCAGCATTTTCGTAATTTTCTAGGGTCTGGAGCCTATGCTCTTTGATGCTCAAGGTTAACCCTTCTCTTATTAGAATTTCCTGGGTATTTTCAGCCAATTTCCTCTTTACTTTAGCTTTGAAAATTGACCAAACATTCTCAATTGAATTGAACATGAGGCTGTAAGGTACTAGCCTCAAAATTTGATCATCGGAAAATTCCTCCTCATCTAAGAATGATTCGAGTTTTGAGTGGCAAGGTGCATTGTCAATGACAAGATCGACAGATTGATCATACTTTTCCTTAGCTACATGCAATGCCTTTTTAATGAAATCACATGCCAAGTTACTTGTGTATAATCCCTGCCTGACTTCACTGTAAATTAGGCCCAATTTGCTGATACAGCCTATTACATGTATGTTAACACCTTTTGATGATGCTGCAATTCTGATGCACCTTGTACATTTTCAAGATTGCCCTTCACTCCTTGAAATATGAATACTGAAGTTTGTTTCATCCAGGAAGAAGAGTGGCAACTTAAAATTCAAGGAGTTCTTCTGCAAACCTTTTTCTCTTTTCTTTATTCTCTAAAGTGTTTGCTGTATCTGACTTGAATCTGACCCCTTTTCAGAGTGTATAAAAGCATGTATAGGTGCCAATGTAAAGTCTGCTTGTACAATTTTAAATTGAATTTCTGGTAAATGATGTCAACTAGCTCATTAAGTATTATTCTGGGGCTTTCTTCAATTTTCTTCCACATAAAATCTTTGTGCTCATTTGATGCTTTTCTGAACCTTTGTCCACCTCTTGAGTCTTCCTTTTTACCTTGGGATACCAACCTGTAAGCAGCTGCCCAAGGGATTCCAATTTGTCAAGCTTCTGACCGCCAATCTCCATCTGTAGACAGTCAGAATTTGAGTTTTCTTTTTTTCATTTTCAGTCTTCTTGTATGATCTCAACATAGTATTGAATTTTAAGAAACACTTTAGTTAATATATTTTTCAACCTTTATATATTATTAAAAAAATATACATACAAGTTTTGCTTTCAGTTCATACAAATTTAAATTCATAAAATTTAAAGTATTTCATTATATTTGAAGACCCTTAGGTAAATAAGTATTTTTATCAAATTAAATTCAGTGTTTAAAAACAATTTTAACTTTGAAATTTAAATATATAAGCAAAATACAAATTTGACTGGTTAATTTTTCATTTTTTTTTTTACTAAAAATAAATCATGCCATTTTGAAAGTTATTCTCAAATTGAAAGTGAAAAGGTAAAGATTGGCATCTAGGTACCACCTATTTACTGTTGAAATAGCTAAATGCAATGCCACTTTTACTCCAACAGTTTCTTTTCTCACAATTCTCATTTGTGGAACTCTTCCATTTACTTGCTTCCCTGATAACTACAAAAATTTAAATGCAATGTCAATCTCCATCTTCTGTTCATTTTTTGTCCTTTCCTCAATCTTTTATTTTATTTGAACTCCCTGTAACCCCCTGCATACTAGTGGCATTTCTGCCTTGATTAGAGTGAAATGATATAAATAAATATTCAAATAGCCATTCTTTAAACATAACATGTTATTATTTTGAAAATTTCTTGAATATTTCTTTATAAAATATTTCCACATAGAATCTTGTTTTGTTAGTATATTTTGCTGATGTATATTTATTCAGTTCTTAAATGCTTAATCTAAAGGTCTTGAAAGCTTTTTGTAAATTTACAAATAAGCTACATATGAATTTGCATATGTTCAATACACATCTACATTCAACAATATTAGACTGTAATAAGTTCAATAATTATCCTAAATATTTTATAGATATTGATAAAATTAAACTATGAGATGAAAGCACATTTAAAATTATATATTATTTCAATAATTTTTAGTCTATTTTTAACTGAAATCTAATTAATTTAATTAAAACATTTTAGTTAAACATTATAACAAGAGACAAAAAAATGAAAAATGTGTAATAAAATTATTTTTTATAAAAAAAAGAAAAAAAGACCTATTCAAAAAGAAAATATGCCAAAGGTATGAAAATGGAACATGCATTTCTTTTAGATACACAAAATGGAAAGTACATGGTATGCTCTGAAAGTACTGCCTCATTAAAAAAAAAAAAAAGAAATCTCCAAGGAAAATACAAAAGACACAGAGTGAAAAATAACACTATTGGAGAGGACTACAAAACACTATTGGAGAGGACTACAAAACACTATTGGAGAGGACTACAAAACACTATTGGAGAGGACTAAAAACACTATTGGAGAGGACTACAAAACACTATTGGAGAGGACTACAAAACACTATTGGAGAGGACTACAAAACACTATTGGAGAGGACTACAAAACACTATTGGAGAGGACTACAAAACACTATTGGAGAGGACTACAAAACACTATTGGAGAGGACTACAAAACACTATTGGAGAGGACTACAAAACACTATTGGAGAGGACTACAAAACACTATTGGAGAGGACTACAAAACACTATTTTTTAACATAGCCAATGGTGGTGAATATTTTTGCAAGTGATGAAACAAGAGCCTGCAGGTCATACTTATAAAAATCTGCCTTGGCAGAGGTGTCAAACTTCTTCAATCACACACTGCTGTTGTTATTGCTGAAATGAAATACCCAATGCCCAACTGTGCTCACATTTACTGTTTGGTCACTTTAAATTTTCAGGAAGCATTGACAATATTAATAAGTGCGATATTTTCCACATACCATTCAACATTACACCTATACATTGTATACAATTTCATGTCAGACGCCACTTTTACCTGATGGCCCCTCAACTGCTATCTGTAAAAAGGCAAAGACTTTGGGTTATTGATGTGAAAATTCTCTCTCTACAGTTATACCACCAACATCTATCGCTGACATTGTGGGTTAACAAAATAAAAGAGGATACATTACTTTCGGAGTGACTCTTGTAATATTTAGTGTTTGCCATGAAATTCAAATTATTCTGAACTTGAATAATATGTTTTTTAAATACATCCTCAAAAAAAAAAAAAAATTGCATCTGGTTTTCAGACAATACAAACAGTAATCATTTTTATAAAGTATCAGTTTGGGTTTAAAAGTCTCATTCACAAACTAATGACTTTAAAAGTCAACACCACATTCTTTCCATACAAAAAAGACCTTAAAAAAAAAAAAAAAAAAAAAAAAAAAAATAAAATAAAATTACCTTTAAGCTTTACAATTTCCATTTCTTTTTCTTGCTTTAACTGCATGAATTCTTGATTTCTATTTGCATCTTTCTGTTTACTATCTTCAGAGAATTTATCTAATTTTTGCTGTATTCTACTATATTCAGTTTCCATATCTTGATGCTGGCTCTGAAAGAAAAAAAAAGATAACATTAATAACTAGGAAGACTAAGAACAATTCCACAGTTTTTTCAAAGAAGCCATTTCAGTATAAACTGAGCATTTTAAGATGGAACTTACAATTATTATACACATTTAAGGAGAAAAAGACTCAAAGCAGCTTGAAATGCTAATGTAACACCTTATTCTAAGTGCAAAACGCATTAAATGATACTATGCATCATGGTGCTATAAATGCATATATGGCAGCACAAGAGAACAAATGAAATAAGAGAATGCTGCCAGTGAGGCAGAAAGAAAAGACAAAAATTGTTAAGATAAAATTCTTTGTATTGCTAATATAGAGGATCAAGGTGGAAGGTCTCTTTGAGGGCAAGGGAAGTGACCTGGAGGATAAGGAGAGTTGGTAGGTCCTGGAGTTGATGTGTATTTGGCCAGTTGACCAAAGTGATGATGTTGGCAGCTTGTTCGCTTGCCTGTAACTGCCAACATTGTCCTGAGTGGCATTCTTAAAAGCAGACAGGGTGGATCAGGACTCTGTTTTTTTTTGTTATGCAATGTTCATGACTGACTCCTTTCATGTTGTATTTTATATTTTTTTCTGAGAGAATCTGTTTTGTGAGTCAGACGTGATGTTCAAAGACCCTGCGTAAAGAGTAAATGTTTTTAAAATTTTATTTTTGCTTTTTCAGTGTTCAGATCCAGCTGATGGGTTTTGATGTAGAGTGAATCAGGAAGAGATCTAGTTTGAAACAGAGTATAACAATGGTTCAACTTGACATAAGATCATTATAGATTGATTTAATTTGATGGTACTATGGAATTTAAAGGTTACGTGTTGGTGTCTTGTAGGTGGATGCAGATTCACATGTAAACAATTAATGTAGAAACAACAAAAACTTAGTTTCTATTATAAACTGTTTATTCTTTTTTTTATGGTGGAAACTGTAGCGAAGTTCTCAGTGTCTCTTAAGTATGTCCATTTTCTTTTTCTGGTCCAGAAGTAAGTTAGGCCCGGTAAGGATAAGAATGGTTAAAATGTTTGAGCTCAAGTCAGCTTTGTGCGGAGTTAAAACAACCAAATTACTTCATGAGTAGAGCTGTAAAACATGTCCATACAGTCTATGTTGGAAAGAGGAAGGTTCTGTCCTTTCTGGGAATGGGGTCATAAAGTTGCAAAGATGACCAAATCTCTTTCTGGTTCCTTTATTATTAACATCATGAGAAAATGTATTTCATTTTCCTATAGTACCCACAAACTTTTGTAAAAATTAAAGTTATGTAAAACTCAAACTGTTTTTTTTTTTTTTCTCCACACAAGTGTTCTTAAACAGTTTATGGTATAAATTTTTTATTATTAGATGTCAATGTTATTTTCATTTCTTTTTTTATTCAACCAAAATCTTCAAAGAGAATTTTATTACTATGATTACAATGCCATCAATTGAAATATATACAGGAAGATATTTCGCTACCATAATAGAATAAACAAATTCTATCACAAAACATTTTTTTTAGTTCTATGAAGCACAGTATGTTAATATTTTCAACAAAGAAAATATATCAAGCAAAATTTATCAAAAAGGCAGCTGATAGAGATTTATTTAATTTGGCATATATACAATCATTTTATTATGTCTTTCTTTATACTGAAAGAAAAAAACAACAACAACAACAACAACCACAAAAAAGAAATAGTATTTCTATAAACAAGGAACATAAACTGTACATACCTGGAGCATTTTGTATTTATTTTGAATATCAGTCAACTTTGACATCATCTCTAGCTGCAATTCAAAATGAAAATTGTTTGTTAGAAAATGAATTAGACAGATAGACAGATTTACAATCTTAGAAAAGAGTAATTTATATATTATATGAACAATAACTGACATTGTGTGGGACAAACCCTTTTCTTTTGATCTGCTACATTAATATATAAATGTGTGTGTGTGTGTGTGTGTGTGTAAACATTTCTTTATGTAGTATGTTACTTGGTAAGCTTGTTTTGTAAGATACTTTGCTCATGTATGGTATACAAGAACTTAAAATCCGGGACTAAACAATAATTTGTATGTATATGGTGAATCTATAAGATCTTTAATCTGATATGTAGCTCTTTGCTGAATTTTGATCTGAAACTTTGAATGCTTCATATTAGTGTGATTTAAGTGCATCGACAAGGAAGGATATTATGTTGAAAAATAAATACTTGACATGTAAAATAAATGCTTTTTTCATATTCCTACCTAAGTGGTATTTAAAGTTTGTCCAATGTTAGGTTTCTTTTTTTTTTTTTTTAAATTTTTGTATTCCACATTGACAATATTACGCAGAAAAGAAAAATCATTTCCAAATTTTGGTCAATGTGAGAAATGGTGTGTATGTTATTACAAATAACATTAGCATTTGGATAACAATATAGCTGGGATAATCCCAATCAAAGCAACTAAAATGTAAGGTGAAAGTTAGGTTCATGTTCCAGTCATTGGTTTGGAGATATCCTCACAAGGAGACTCCTTCACTTGTGTTTAGATCTCAGAGTTGAAACATCCAAAGCTAGCCACATGTTACACAAAACTGAAGTTGACAAATTCATGAGATTGTTCAAAATCTTGGAATAATGATGATGATGATTGGAATACTTTAAGAATTTTAACAAAGTATATTTTATTTTGCTGCAATTAACATCTTTGTTCCCCACCTCACTTCTAATGCTTGACAGTCATTTGCTTGTGTTCCCATTTTTCAAAGAATGGAATGATCTTATGACTTTTTCTTAGTAGACTGCTGTTATTCTTAATGGCAGCCTCTGCCAACTCTTTACTTTCTTTCTGGAAGCTTTAGTAGTCTTTCCAAAGTGTGCCACATCTAATCCAATAGGCTTGTCACCAATGATACATTGGTACAATTTGACCATTTATTTATGTTCTTACAGGTCTACTTTGTTTGACACAATATATGGGCACCTAGCAACTTGATTGAATTCTGATAACATACTTATAAAAAAAGACAAAAAAACTTTCCCCATGACTAATAGCAAGGCTATGAAGACTTCTTTGGTAGGCCTAACATAGAAATAAACATTATATGGGAGTGTTAATAAGGAAAAAAAGACTAGCAAGATTTCAACAACAGCATCTACAGTAGAAAAGAGAGTGCAGCCAAGTGTGACAAGCAACAGCAATTGTCAACATATAGGTTTGGTTTAGACAGGACTGTCCTTAAATATAACAGCCGAAGTTTCAGGATTATATTTAATACAATTGTTTTCAACAGACCATTACATCATTCTCCAACATGGTATTGGCCACATTAGAAGCACCAACATACATTTACAAAATATAAACAAATTTTACAAATTATAACTTTGACAAAACTTGAGTACAAATCCATTTATATACAAATCAAATACAGAGGTGACATCATTACAAACAGAAAAGATTTTATGTATTTTATAAGCTGGACAAAATTTTTTTTTAAATACCAGACAGGGGAAAGTTTAATGTAGGTAAATGTATTGAAGTAACAACCAAATAAATATAATTTGTTTTTGTTGAAATAAAATAAAACTAACAAATTTCTTTTAATTTCTGATGTCCATTTTATAAACAAGTTAATAATTTTCTGTGAAGTATTGAAAATTAACGTTGCTATAAAATCTGATTAAGAGTATAACATCACTACATTATGGAAGCCATAGCGTACTGACTAAAAGGTATAATACAACAACAAAAATATATATATATATATATATATATATATATATATATATATATATATATATATAACAGTAGTAGAGCCCGCGTTGCCGGGGATGTAACAATAAGAGATAGATCAAGTATCGACTATCATAAAGACTGAAAAATAAAATTGACAAAGATTATTGTTTAAGGTTGACGGACACGCATATCTTAATTAGTTTTTTTTTTTTTTTTTTTTTTTTTATTTAATTGGTCAAACCCAAACTCAAACAAAAACATTGTTTACAATCGTTATGAGTCTATCGATTGGTGAATAGAATTTTATTATAAACAATTGTCTTGTAAATGGAATTTTAAAGCATTCTGAATGTAAATAAAGAAAAAAATTGTGCAAGACAATAAGAAATACTACCTGCCAAAAAAAAAGTGGATGTTTGTTTTATCGGCTGAAAATGTAAGAAACCGATCCCATACATAAAAGGAACACACACAAACAACCTGGGTTTTTTTTAACCTAAGTCACCCCACGGAATCGCTAAAACATAGAGCATAGTCTGATGAAAAAGACGCCAAAGTTTATTAAAACAAAATTTTATCACAAAATGCTTATATTTTTATGAAGAGGATAGACTAAATTTTTTTTTAATTATTTTTTAAAATTTTTTCCATCTTTTTAGAATATTCTAAATTTTGATTTAAAAAACCTTGTTTCTCTTTTGTCGCAACAAGGGGTAGTAAATAACAGATAATTTTTAGCTGCTTTTTTGTATTTACACACATTAATTTGGAAAATCTTGCAAAAATAAAAATAATTGTCAGATGTTAATGAAACTTTCAGAAACTATTTACAGATGATCGAAATTATTATATGTTTTTTTTTTATTAAAGGCATGGCAGAAATATTTTTTTTATATTTATTAACACCCCCATAACTAATTTTATGAAAAACTCTAGAAATTCGAGACCATCGGTTTTAGTGATTACAATAGTTAAAAGCACAAGGCTTTGAAGAATGCAAATTATGTATTTTTTTGTTTTTTTTTGGCCAACGTACCTGAAAATCAGCTGTGAATTGTAACATACAAAACTCAATAAAACAAATATATTATTTAGTTTCAACAAATGCTTTTATTTGTTTTAATTTGTTTTTATGAATATGGACAATATTTTCTGAAAGCAAAAATTTTTCAATGAAAATTGAATTTTTAATACAATTATTTCTTATTTCTTTAATTTTAAAAAAGATTTTTAAAAATGTTTAAATTGAATTTTAAAAATATTTTAACATTAGTTAAAAGCAACATCAACCTTTCAAAATGTCCATGTGATATTGTCATTGTCTAGCGCTTTGAAAATTGTATAATTTGGACCAATCAGATTAGCCATGGTAATTAAGAAATGTAATTTTTGTGTTTATAGTCGGACAGTAATTATCAAATGCGGAAGACCAACCAGAATACAATTTAGTTGCATTATTTGAGTTCAGCATTGTTCTCCGCTGTTAAGCCCTTTACTTTTATGTAAACACGTATGGAGAAGTTAATTTGAGTTTTCAATTTCAACTGAGAAGGGTACCTACAAGTAACAGTATCATCTTATGAAATTTAACTACTGCTAAACTTTAATTTATATGATCTTATTTGTATATTAATCTCATTTATGACATTTTTCCATAAATGAAATATCGAAATTAATAATAAAATGAATGGAAATACAAATAACACAGTAAAATGTAATAAATGTACATAAAATTATAGTATTTTATGTACACTTCTGATAAAATTTCATAAGAAAGGTACCTAAATTAATTAGATACCTTTTTTTATGAAATTTAATCTCACTATTAACAGTCTTATTTTTAATTTCTTTATATTTTCCATAAAGCATCGTAAACGTAAAAAATGAAAGCTAAGTACAAAAAAAAAAAAAAAAGATAAAAAAAAAAAAAAATTAGAGCGCTGAAAGTTTTTCTTAAAAATAACGAGGTAAATAACTTGTTCACTTAAATAATTTCACTTCCTTCCATCCGTTAGAAAGAATTACCCTCCCGTAAGTTATCTAAACGTCATGAATGTGCCTTTTGTCAATCGACAAAGCGACGCGAAAGGTTATGACCTGCTTTGTTTTATTTTCAAATTACATTTTTTCGGGCAGAAGCTAAGTTAAGCTTGGTTCAAAATATTTTAAATAAACAGTATAATATCTGTTTTTATTAAAATCAGTTTTGAAAAAATGATAATTGACTTTTAAAAGAATATCAAAGTAAGATTTTAATCTTTTTTTATCAAATCGAAAAAATGATTGAAAATGATTATCTGTCCTTTTTTTTTTTTACCAAAAAAAAAAATTTTTAACGAAAATTTCAGACGTGCTAGGAACAATTAAAAATGTAAAAAATACCCCAAAAATACTTTTGATCTTTCCTGTTTAATAATAATATGAACATTAGACGATGAAATTTTGTTTTCGTCCAAGTTCGGCCTTTTTTCATCATGCTATGCTCTTTTGTTTACATTTTCGTGGGTGAGTTGTCCCCTTTCATTCTCACGATGTGTCTTAATCGTGTTTTCAAATTGATTTTCTTAAAAAACAACTGTGTTTTTCCCCCATTTTCGGGCGCCGTTAGAACCACCAAAGGTAATTTTACGCAGTCCTGTGAAGTTTTGTTGAAATCGGCTAAAAAAATGTAGGAAATTCGATCCAACATATAAACGTTACGGACGCACACACAACCTGCGTTTTTTTATAATAAGTAAGATATATATATATATATATATATATATATATATATATATATATATATATATATATATATATATAAGGCTTAAACACTAAAATTCCATGGTTATAATTTATTACATTGGAATCGTAATCACGATCCAATTCGTAGGTCTGATGAATTGGATTGTGATTACGATTCCAATGTAATAAATTTATACTATAAATAACTATTTCTATTTTATTGCTTTTGATAACACTTTTGGGTGATCATTTACTTTTAACAGGAGAGTAAAAATTGGGGATAAAGAAGGATCTTCTGACAAGAGTTGAACTTACATTTCAATAATGCATCTTTTATGAAC